AGTTTTCTGTCAGCAGTTCTACAATGATTCTCTCTGTTTTGTTTTCTCCCCCTCTTCTGGAACTCTGACCACTGGCAGATTTTTGCTTTTGATTGTATCCCACATAATTCTCAAGCTTTCTTCATTTTTGTTTGTTCTTTTTTCTTATTTTTCCTCAGAGTTGTATCCAAGTGTTTGTCTTCAATTTTGCTAATCCTGTCTTCCATCGTTTCAAACCTGCTCTTCAGCCCTTCTATGACACTGTCCATTTCTGAAATCTTGTTGTTTATGTTTTGGATTTCTAATTGTTTTTGTATGATTTCTAGTTGTGAATTTATTTTAGCATTTTGTCCCTGTATTATTTTCCTGAATTCTTCCATTTTTTAATCTGTATTTTCCATGAATTTTCTGCCTTTTCCATGAATTTGTCTACTTTTTCCTCTTTTTTGTCTGCTTTTTGCTTCGACTCTTGGATAATTCTGAATATTAGAGATTTGAATTCCCTATCAGGTAGTTCCAGCGCCTTTTCTTCTACTGAAAAGTCATCTTGTGTTTTATTTTGGGCTCCTACTGGAACCATCCTGTCCTGTTTTTGTATGTGTTTTGATATTTTCTGCTGTCTTCAGGGCATTCAATAGTTATTCTCCTCATTTATTGATTGTAGATTTGTTTTGTCCTGCTTTTGTTTTATTTGGTTATGTCTGAGCAGGCGGGCTGTGTGTTGTTTTTTGCTTGTTTGTGGGCACGATATGTTTCACCTCCTTCTCCAACAGGCAGGGTCAGTCACTCAGGTATGGTACAGCGGGGTAGATCCAGTTGAAGGGGAGTTGCTGGGATGGGTTTTTTTGTGGCACGTACTAGGGCCAATAGGGCTGACTAGGAATCAGTGCAGGGCAGGTTCCGGTAGACTTTGCCTGTGCTGCTTGGTTGTGTAATGTTCAGCACATGGTGCAGGTAGGCAAGAAGGAGGGGAGAGATTTTGATGTGTGGAGCTAAGATGGGTATGGGAAAGAAGAGAGAGAGGAGAGAAGAACAGGAGCCAAAAACATACACACAAACAAAAAAGAGTGCTAAGGGAGCTTGCTATTGGAGTGATGAGAGACTGAGAAATGGAGAAAAACAAAAATAAAAGAAAAAGGGTAAAAGAAAAAAATGAATAAATTGAGAAACTGGAAATGAAGAAAGACAAAAAGAAGAAAAGAGAGAGAGGGAAACAAACCCCCCCACCAAAAAAATGCCCACAGGGAAGTCACTGTGTGTCTGCGCAGAGTAAGAGAGTAGCTCCCAAGCCACGTGGTACTGCCCAGCTAGAAGGTCTCCCAAGCCAAGAAAAAAAGGAAACAAACAAATCAAAACAGAACAAATCAGAACAAACAAAAGCCCTGGGGGTCTCACTAGCGTGGTGGCACGGGCCGGGAAGCAGTTTCACAGTCGAGCAGTGTTTTGCAGCCTTTCAGGAAGAAGCAAAGTTAGCACATGGAGCCAGGTATTTGAGAGAAAGGAGGGGGAGGTGGTGAGAGGTAAGGAAGAAATCTAACAAAGCAGAAAAAAGCAACACCAACAGCCAACAAATGGCATTTAGGGAGCTGGCCAGTGCGGGCAAATGGAATCCAAGTGACACCAGGGTGAAGCCGGTGCTTCCTGGTCAAGAGACTGCGGCTGCAGGAAGCAGAGGCGGCCGAGTGGGGGTGAAGAAGGGTGGGGTGGGAAAGTGTATATCACTGGTTACTGGTTGTTCTGTTTCCTGCTGGAAGCTCCGTGAAGCTGCTTTCTCGTACCCTCTGTTTGCTGATCCTGATAGGAGTCCAAAATGGTGGATCCGTACTGCGGTAGCTGATGGGGAACTCTGCATGTATCTCTCCTCTCTCTCTCTTCTTGATCAGTTTCTTATTCCATTCAGTACTTGGCTGAGTTCTTTATCTCTTCATTTGATGTGTAGGGTTTCAGGATTGACATGACTCTGTTTGACTTAGTTCTTCGGATCTTTGCTGTGGAGGGATGGCGTGGTGCTTCTGACTATAGCGCCATGTTGGCCAGAAGTCTCGAGAATATTTAAATGTTGAAAGTTACAGAGGACATATTTGGATTGTATTATATAATGAAAAGAGAATATATTTTGGAGTCTAACTAACCTGGGGAATTTAACCACTAATGTTCCCATTGGCTGAAAGCTGCTCCCCAGGCCTTGAAGTGGTGAGTTGTAGGTGCTTATATTGTCATCAAGTTCTGGAATGGGGGTTCTGAGGGGATATGGAAGGGCACCATCAGCATCTGGCATCCAGTACACCCTCCATATGTGGTAATTTGTGCCTACGTCAGATTGAATTTGGTTCAGCTGCATTACCTCTGTGTTGTCACCCAAGCAGAAAACCCAAGATAACAGTGTTTTAAACAAGAGAGAAGTGAATTTCTTTCTCACATAAACAAAATCTGAGATAATCTGCCAGGTCTGGTGTGGCACTTCCAAGATCATTACGGAGGTAAGGTGTTTCTAACTTGTTCTTTCACCCTCAATAAAGGGCTCCCACCCCACGGTTGACTATCACATAAAGCACCACACTTACCTTGCCTATTGGATAATCTGTCCCTGATCACATTTGCATTCAAGAAGCAGGAAGGAGGAAGGGCACACTCCTCCCTTTAGAAGCCCTCCCTGAAATTTGGAAAAATGATTCCATCTGTGTTGTATTGGCCAGGACGTTATCCATTGCCATACCTAGTTTCAAAGGAGGCTGGGAATTGAGATGTTTTTCAGTGGCCATGTGTCCTGCTAAAGATAAAAAATCGGAGAACTAATATTGGAAAAACTAGCAATCTTTACCAAAGCCATTATTGCTATTGTTCTCATTATTATTATGCCCAGCTGTAACGGACTGGACCAGAGGTCAGTGCCTGAGCCAGAAGGAACCATGTGTGGGCAGGACACCTGGAAGGCCAACTAGCCCCAAGATGACCCAGTAGGAAACTCTGCCCAGTGGGGCTCTCCATATCAAATGGTGGCAAACTACTCTCTTGAACAGTGTAACTGCTCAGTACACATGAAGAGGAAGAATTACTCTACACAGATTAGTTGCTGTGAAGCTTCACCCTTCCCCATCCTGGAAGAATGAGACCCAGGCCAACTAACAGCTTTGCAGGAGGCAACTTCCTGTACTACCTCTTACTCCTATTTCCGGGGTAAATCCCACTAAGCTTCAACTGGGCCTGAAAAGCCTTTCGTGGTCTGCCCCCTCCTGCCTAACTCTCCAGCTTCATCTCCCCAAATAATCTGTGCTCCAGCCTTTTTCAGTTCTGCACACTCCATGAGCTTGGCTCTGGCCTTCAGCACTCTGCTGTCACTCACTAATACATACTATTGGCTTACTGTGCCAAGTACATAATCTCTTTTAGTTTGTATCATTGCCTGTCTGCATATCTGTACTCCTTACTGGGCTGGAACTTCAAAAAAGGCAGGGACCATGTTGTATTCTAAGCATCCAGCAGCGTCTAGTATGTTCACAGAGCCCTGGCTCCATACTACGGTTGGCGCACAATAAATGTTTCTTACATTGACTTTACAGCTTGCATAAAAATGACACAAGATATTATTGAGTGTAGTGATTTTTTTTTTTTCTTTTTCGATTCTAATTTTTTTCCTGAGGAGCAGCGACCAGGAGAAGGAAAATGGTTCTCTAGACTTACTTTAATAGGCATATCTCCCCCGGATCTCTGGCATTGCATCTTGTGGTGGTAATGGAGCTAACACAAGGAGTGGCCATCCTCTGGGAGTCCTGTTCACGCAGATGGAGGGTGTGGTGGTGGTGGTGAGTGATGCTTCCTGGCACCCGTCAACTGGAACTGGGGAGCAGAGAGGGAGAGCTTCATGTCTCAGGCCAGGGACCTGAGGGAAAGGAACTGTGTGCATAGCCCCCCTTGTTAACTAACGCCTTCCATTTCCCATCAGAGAAATGACAATAAAATTTAGAAATACATATTTATTTCTTCTAGCCCACTTAAATCAGCAGTGATTTCCAAGTCTGGATATGAAATTCCCATTATGAGAAACTCTCCAGGGCCTTAAGTACAGTTTGTAGTGGAATTTGATGATACCAGCACATGGTTAGAGATAACATTCTTAGAGCAGTTTGAGCTGAACATAGATAATACTTGGCCTCTGAAAGTGCCCTCAAGCCTGATGTCACACAAACATCCTCAGCCCCAACCACACTTCCCTTCCTCTTCCAAATCTGTGCTTTTAGCTGTATCTGGATTGTTTGGGAGAGCAGGGAGAGGAAGGGGAAGATGGTGAAAGAGACTCCAACCATCTGTTTGGAGTTAATGTCAGGAGCTCTCTTATCTTTCTGAGAACTGGAAAGTCACTAGGGAAATAATTACCACATAGACTAAAAATCTCCAGTAGTCTTTGGGTAGAAAAAGAGAAACAGGAATTTTCCACTGTCCCCCACCTGACCTTTGTGCCCTTAAGACACCTCAAATGACACCACTTGGAAAGGGAGATTTACTCCTTGGTCTCGGGGGAAGCTTTCTAAAATAAATTTTTTCATAGCTAGTGTTTTTCATATTATTTTGTTGCTCTATTTTGCTTCGTTTTTGTCTTGGAATTTCAACTATATAACATATGCATAGAAAAAATGGCTGGAAAGTAATACACCAAAATATTAACAGTGGTTATCTATAGGTAGCAGAATAAAGGATTTTCTTCCTCTAAATTTGCTACAGTGGAAAAAAAATACCACTTTAGAAAAAGAAAAAAAATTATGATAAACATTATTTTAAAAACCCTCAAAGTGTGGGACAACCAGACATGTACATCCTGAGATGAAACTGGAAATCCAGGGGTGCACTTTAAATGACACCATAAAGTTACAATAAACCAATTCAGAACGTGACACAATAAAATGTATTATTTATTCCACAAATAAAGGGCATTTTAAAAATTTGTGTGGTGGTGATGGGAGAACTGTCATAGAGAAACTCAAGAGACAAACGTACCAAATGTAATCCATGGATCTTGTTCAGCTCCTGGTTGTATAACTGACTGCAAAAAGACAGTTTGGGGACACAGGGAAAATTGAAGTCCAACTGGTTATTAGGTGATTGAGGTATCATTTTGTTTGATACAATTATGATATTGGGGGTGGGGGAGGTGGGATGGAGGGTTGATGATGTCTTTCAGACCTAATCAGGGTAATTTCATGGTGTACTTTGGGAGCTCCCTGCAGCTCTGCCATTTGTGGAGAGGCCTGCAAGGGGCTGGGCAGGTGGAAAGGAATCCACCAGAGAAACCAGGAAGAGAAGCTGGGAGAGGTGTGGGATGCAGGATCCAAGAATGTGATTTCCAATGTGAGAAAGCCTCCCCTATATGTAGGGACCACCAAGGGCTGTCCCACTCAGCCAGCTCCTGAGATGGGCAAATGGGAGATACTATCACAGGACCAGGCATCGGGGATTCTGACTATCACCCCTTTACCCCAGTGCTGAGAGCTTAAGGAGAACTGACATATTTATAATATCAAGTCTTCCACTCCAAGTACATGGTATATCTTTTCATTTACTTAGACTTTCTTTAATGTCTTCCAATAAAGCTTTATCATTTTCTTCCACAAAGGGCTTGCACATCTATTGTTAGATTTATTCCTAAGTATTTTATATTTTTGTTGCTGTTCCAAATGGTGTATTCATTAAAATTTTACTGAGGTATTCAGAAAGTGCACAAATCAAGGACACTGCTTAATTTTTACATATGTGTATACTCATGTAAACAAATAGTATATTATTTAAAGTTACATTTTCTAACAGATAGTTGTTGATGATAGAAGTGCAATTGATTTTGTATATTGATTTTTTTCTATATTGATTTTGTACAAAGCAACCTTGCTAAACTCACTTATCAGTTCTATCTGAATTCTTTTGGGGTTGTACATATGCAATAATTTCATTTACATACACTGACATTCTTGTTTCTTTCCAATAATTATACTTTGTTGTTGTTTACTGGACTGGCTAAGACTTCCGTTATTGTATTGACTAGGACTATTGAGAGGAGGCATCCTTGTCTTTTTCCTCATCTTAAGAGAAATGCTTCCAATATCTCACCATTGTGGTGATGCTTAGTGTAGAATTTTTGTAGATGTCCTTTATCAGGTTATGAAGGCTTTTTTTTTTTTTTCCTTTCTTTAATATAAATGGATGTTGAATAATTTAAGTGTTTTTTTTCTGTATCAATTGAGATGAATAAAAATTTTCCCCTTGAATCTGTTAACAGGTCCATATTTCTCCTCCACTGACATTTGTTTTTTAACTTTGATAATGGTGTCTTTTGCTATACATTTCTTCTCAGTTTCCTTTTTCAGCTCTCCTTTTTATCGGTAGGTTTTCCTTCTTACCTCTCTCTCTTTTATGTATTCCTTTTGGTATTGGTCTTCTCCAGGTTTCTCATTTACTCCTCTTCTCACTCTCTTACCTCATGCTCCTGCTTTTTGTAGGTTTCCTAGGATATCACAGGTAGGGTGCTGACGACAGGGTTTTCAGACAGTTTAAGTGTCGTCCCACAGTCTGCTTTCTCTCTACAGGCATGTTTGAATCTGAGTTACAGCCCTGGATTAGAAGACAGGCAGCTTGGGTTCCAGTTCTGTCAGCCTCCAACTGTGCACCAAGACCCTGATCAGATCCCTTAGTTCCTTGTCTTTCAGTCTCATAAATAAAACCTGTTCTGCCTACCCCCGTGATTGGTTGGAAGCACAGGTGAATAAATGTCATAAAACCACTAGCAAACTAGCATATTATTCACACCAAGAGGTTGTTGTTTTTCTTATTAAGATTGTTAGAGGCAGATTCTGGAAAGATGGAGGCATAAACAGATCACTGTTCTGATCCTCCCCCACAAATACAATGAGAAATACAACAAGGAAACAGTGCTGGCTTTGAGGGACCCTGAATTGGGGATCAGAGGACAGCAGCAAGGATCTGCAGACAGGCAAGAATTAATGAATCAGTGACTAAGATACGGTAGAAAAATCACTTATCCCACCATCCCTGCCCCTTCTCCCAGACACGTGGGCCACCAGTTGCTGTGAACTAGGGAAGCAGCCCCAGTAAAAAGCCTGCTTCTCTAACTACCACATCCCCTGCCTATACAAAGAGACAGGACCCCAAGCTTCTGCTCTAATATCAACAGGTAGACTTCTCCAGGGTTCCATTCAGAGTATGCCAGCACCTCCCCAACCCAGACACTGTCTGCTGCAAGGCTGCTGCAAATTACTACAGAAGGCCCCTCCTGTAATGGAGTCTGTTCCCATAGTCAACATGCTACCTGCCTCCCTGCGCACGTCATAGCTCAGGCCTCTGTAACCAACAGGACAGACCTCCCTGGTGGTCTGTTTGGGTCTGTATGCTCCGCCTTCCAGTCAGAGCTGAGGACTGCTGACTGAGGCTGCTGTGTGCTAGGAAGCAGGCATCTTGAGTGGCGGCTACACCCACAGCAAACACTACGGGGGGTGGCGTCTGAGAACAACATGACAGACCACCCCAGGGGTCCATTTGGAGCTTGACAGCCCCTCCCCACCAGGTAACTGTTGGCTGTTAGACTGATATGAACTCCTACAGAAGACTGCTTACAGTAGAGCCTGGAGGTGGGTCACCTAAGTGGAGACTGTTCCCCCAACCAGCACAGGGCCACTAGGGATCAGAAACCAACAAGACAAATCTCTTGGAGGTCCTTCTGGGGAGTTCCAGGAACTCCTCCTCCTGAAACGGAGGAAAGTCTGCCTGTGCTTCCCTGAATACTGGCACAAATATAAGCAGCCCCCACAGAACAGGAAAGGAAGACTTGGGAAAAACCAGAGGGCAACACCCAGCCTTGAAGGGGCTCAACGAGTGTGGGTTTTCCAACTGAAAACATGGTTGCAGAAACAGAGAAGGAAGGGAGTAATAACTAGAGAGACAGGACTGTACCCCTGATGGACAGATTAATTAGTGTATGAAATCTCACATGAGTGGCGGTGCCTGCTGGTGGAAAGACAGACCACAGCGTGTTATCTGGTGTGTTTGGGAGATACTGAAAATTGAAAACTGAGATCTGGAACTTTCAAATCCTAATTAAACTAAGGAGGGAGAAGGAGCTATCACAGAGAGGGAGAGGAGATGGTACGTAAATGCTAAAGACTCTGCCTGCCTAAGAGTTTTATGAAGAAAGCACTATAGGCAAAAAGACCAAATACTGGAGAGAACTTAGAAAGTTAACACCCCTGAAATTCCAATGCCCCAGCCAAAAAATGACAAGACACACAAAGAAAAGAGAAACAATGCCCCATCCAAATGAACATGATGAAGGGAGTGAAAGCGCATCTATGGGAGACAAAATAATGAAAAGAATGGAAGAATATAATACAACAATGTTAAACATAATTAAACAGTTAAGGGAAAATGGACAGAGATCTAAAAATAAGGAAAACAATGCAAGAACAAAATGAGGGTCTAAAAAAAAAGAGATAAAGAGAAACCACAACAGAAAATATTTCAACTCAAAGGGACAAGAACTGAAATGAGAAGCACAATGGAAGGATTTAACAACAGATTTAATCAGGCAGAAGAATCAGTGAATTAGAGGATAAGATAGTCAAAATTACAGAGGCTGAAGAGCAACAAGAACGAAGGCTTAAGAATGCTGAGTATAGTTTAATAGAATTATGGGACGACAACAAGTGACCTAATATACACATCATGGGAATTTCAGAAGGAGATGAGAAAGGGGCAGAATATATGAAAAAATAATGACAGAAAATTTCCTAAGACTGATGTAGGACATGAATCTACAAATCAAAGAATTCCAAAGAACCCCAAGCAGGATAAACTCAAAGAGATCTATATCAAGACAGATCATAGTTAGGCTCTCAAAAAGTAAGGATAAAGACAGAATCCTGAAAGCAGTGAAAGAGCATCAGGCTGGAGGCTTCTCCTGACTCATGTAGCTACACAGGCTGACGAACCCAAGATCAGAAGGTCAGGTAGCAGGCTGCTGGCTCATGGGCTGTGGAGGCTGACAAATCCAAAATCAGCAGGTAAGATGGCAGGCTGCTGGCTGACAGGCTGCAGAGGCCAATGAATCCCAAGATCAGCAGGCAATACAGCAGGCCACTGGTTCAAGTCCCAAGAACCAGAGGTCAGATGATGATGAGCCGGATGTGGGATCCAGAGCAAGCAAAAGCCAGTGAGCTTTGCCAGGACATACATATATATCAGATGCAGGCCACACCCCTGAGGAAATGCCCCTTACATCTGATTGGCTGATCACATCTGATCACATCACGGAGGTGATTACCTTATATCACAAAAAGGAGGATAACTACATCATTACATAACTGTGAAACTACATTATTACATAACTGGCAAACCACTGAGAATCATGGCCTAGCCAAGTTGACTCACAACCTTAACCATCACAGCAATGGAATGATATGTTTAAAATGCTGAAAGAAAAAAACTGTCAGGCAAGAATACTATACCCAGTGAAACTGTCCTTTAAGAATGAATGTGAAATTAAAACATTCCCAGGCAAACAGCTGAGAGAGTTCATACCCACCAAACTGGCCCTACAAAAAATACTTATGAGCGTTCTACTGATGGAAGGGAAAAGATACTAGAAAGTAATTCAAAGTCATACATAAAAACAAAGATCCCTAATTGCATGGACAAGTGTAAGGGCTAGTATTAAGGTATTCATGCTTAATAATTCTAATTGTTTTGTCCTTTAAGCTTTTTAACAACAAATGTATAAAAAGCAAGGATAAAATGATGTTACCAAGCACGTGAAATATAAAGACATAATTAGTGGCAACGGTAACAAAATGGAGGGGGGGGAGAGAATGTTATAAGTATAGAATTTCTTACGTTACTGAATTTAAGTTGGTACCAACTTACCCTAGGATGTTATAAATACAAGCTAATATTCATAGTAACCACTAAGAAAACATCTAAAAAACATACACAAAAGGAAAGCAGAAGGGAACCAAAATGCCTCACTACAATAAACCAACAAAAGACAAAAGCAAGCAGTAACAAAGGACAAAGAAGGCTTAAGACACACAAAAAACAAAATGGCAGAAGTAAGTCATTTCTTATTGGTAATTACAGTGAATGTAAATGAATTATGCTCCAATCAAAAGGTAAAGAGTGGTAGAATGGATAAAAATACATGATCCAACAATATGCTGTTTACAAGAGCCACACTTTAGATGCAAAGACACAAATAGGTGGAAAGTGAAAAGATGGAAAAAATATTCCATGTAAATAACAACCAAAAGAGAGCTGGGGTGGCAAGCTTAATATCAGACAAAGTACACTTTAAGACAAAGTCTGTTAGAAGAGATAAAGATGGACACTATATAGTGATAAGAGGGTTAATTCATCAAGATATAACAATCATAAATATATATACACCCAACACTGGAGCAAATAAATATATAAAACAAACTCTGATAGAATTGAAGAGAGAAATAGATAGCAATACAATTAATAGTTGGAGACTTCAATATACCACATTCAATACTGGACAGAACATCTACAAAGAAGATCAACAAGGAAACAGAGGACCTGAATGACACTATAAACCAACTAAACTTAACAAACATATATAGAACATTCCACTCAACAAGAGCACAATATACATGCTACTCCAGTGCACATGGATCATTTGCAAGGATAGACCGCATGTTAGGTCACAAAGCAAGTCTCGATAAGTTTAAAAAAATACAAATCATACAAAGTATTTTCTCTGACCACAAAGAAGCAAAGCTAGAAATCAATAACAGAAAAAAACAAACAAACTGGAAAATACACAAACATATGTAAATTAAACAAGATAATATTAAACTACCAATGAGTCAAGGAAGAAATCAAAAGAAAAATCATAAATTTCTTAAGAGTCAAGTGAAAATGAAAGCACAGCATATCAAAATTTATGGGACTCAGCAAAGGCAGTACTCAGAGGAAAACTTATAGCAATAAATGCCTAAAAAACAAAGAAGGAAAATCTCAAATCAAAAGCCTAACTAGACAACTTCAGGAACTAGAAAGAGAAACACAAACTAAGCCTAAACCTACCAGAAGACAGTAGATAATACAGATCAGAGCAGAAATAAATAAAATTGAAAACAGAAAAACAACAGAGAAAATCAATAAAACCAGAAGTTAGTTCTTTGAAAAGATCAATAAAACTGACAAACCTTTAGCTGGACTGACAAGAAGGGAAAAGATGCAAATAATCAAAATAAAAAATCAGAGAGAGGAATTAAAACCGATTTGATAGAAAGAGAATTAGAATATTATGAACAACTGTATGGCAATAAACACATTTCATCATAACCTAGACGAGATGGACAAATTCTTAGAAGCACATAACCTACCCAAACTGACTCAAGAGGAAATAGAAAGTTTCAATAGACCCATAACAAGTGAAGAGATTGAATCAGTGATCAAAAACCTCCCAACAAAAAACAGTCCTGGACCAGATGGTTTCAAGGGGAAATTATACCAAACATTTAGAGAAGAGTTGACACCAATCCTGTTTAATCTCTTCCAAAAGATAGAGAAGGAAGGAATGCTCTCTAACTTAATTCCATGAAGCAAACATAATCCTGATATCCAAAGCCACAAGAAAAGAAAACTATAGGCCAATATCTCTTAGAAATATAGATGCAAAAATCTTCAACAAAATACTAGTGAACAGAACCCAATACCATTAAAAGAGTCATATACCATGAACAAATGGGACTTATTCCAGGAATGCAGGGATGGCTCAACATTTGTGTCCAGGCATGGACCAGTAATGTAAAATCTGCCTCCAAAAATGAAGGGTGCCAACAGTTGGTCTGATTGGTAGCTCTAGCAAAAGCCTGTATCATAGGGGTCCATGGATGAAGGGCCTGTCCATCACTGTGAGATCATCTGGGAAGAAAAAGAGACAACATTAACGATTTCCCCCTTCCCTCCCCTATCTCCCATGGGCCTTGATGTATAACCACCTAGGCTGAGTGTCCTATTCTTGAGGCAGTGACCTCCATGGGAACCCAGATCTTTTGTCAGGAACAGCTGTATACAAAAGAAACACACTTTATAGAATAGACAGTTTGATCAAACACACAGTACAAATAAGAAGTGCCCCTGCAGGGAACTGCTGCACTGAGACCCCAGACTGCTTGCCTGAGATGTATAGTTCAGGCTGAGGTTGTCTTGTCCCCTCCCATCAGCCGTTTAGGACTGTCCATTGAAGTGCTCAATCGCCCCTATGGTTTAGGGGTGATACAGAGCATGAAGAGTTCATTCAAGATCCAGTGGAAACCTCTGTATAGGATAAGAAGCCCCAATATGATTTACCTGCTGAAAACGCCCTGGCCTCTTGGCTCAGGAATCTGTCCCTGGGCAGATTTTAGCCTTGGCCGGGGTCTCGTAGGCAAGTCAGCTTTTCTGTGCTGTTTGGCATTTTCTGATGACAGTGGCAGTCCATGCCTGTAGGCCCAGTCTAGGATGGTGTGTGAATCTCCATGGGCCATCCTCTCTTAAATCCAGGAGGTGGTTAGTTACACATCTCTTTGCTCTGGAACAGAGGATGCTTCAGCCTCTGCAGTCAGTTGGCAGGGCAGTCTGCTCGCTGGTTGTTTTCCCCTTTCAGCATAGGGGCCTTTATGGTGACCATGCACACAAGTAAAAGCTTACCAGGAGCAGAACTGACTTTTTTTTTTTTTTGGTCCAGACCAGATGTCTCACCCCGCAAAGGGACTTGCTTTCTATGTCAGTCTGGTGGTTGTCAGTGGCCAGACTGAATGACCAGGCTACTAGCTATAGCCCATGTCACAGTTTCCACGTACCCCACTAAAAATGGCCCTAATGGCAGCAGTTCTTGTCAGTGCTTGGAGGCAAAAGTTTACAAAGGTGTACATTAATACATCAACATCATTAATACATACAATAAGTGTTTGTAGGGGCCTTGAGGGGACTTATCCATAGTCAGGCTTGGGCAAGGATCTCAATGATGGTAACCTCAGACCCAAAAGTTTTCTTCATTTTGGGTGCCAGGTGTTATAGAGATCACAGTCATACAATTCAAGACACAATTCTTTTCATTTCCTCATCAAACTTTAATTGTAACATAAGGCCTCTGGTCCTCTCTGGTGACAGAGGGACCTAGTATTAATCCTTAGTCTTAATTATTTCTGAAAATCAGAAGATCTGGGTAAAGCTGACAGAACCCTCAGTCATTGGTGGAGCCAGGCTTCCACCATACCAAGTGCAAGCCTCATGGAAAAATGGCGTGGAGGTAGTATCTAACTTCCTCTAATGTCACAAGAGGGAAGAAGAATTAAGATTAACAGCCTAAGGCTGATTCCTATGAGGCAGAGGTCAGACATGCCTCCTCCCTCTAACATCTTTACCAGTTCGGACACCAACAGCCCCTCCCACCTCACTCTCTACTTCTCTGCTGGGTTTGAAAATTCATTGCAATGGCCACCCAGAATTCACAGACAATACAATTATGGGGTTTATTAGGGAAGTAACAGGTTACAATTCAGGTTCAGGAACACTCAGGATACAGTTCTTCCACCAGGACAGCCTCTTCTCAGCCATGCTCACAGGCACACCTCTCTCTGGCCCTAGGCCTCTGCCCTGCTCAGGCAAGTGTTACAAAGCTCTTTTAGCTCTGCCGATAAGTCCCTCAAGGCACCCCACTCTGCCAGTAGGCCTCGGCCTGAAGGCCCTCAGCTCTAGCTCCGTGGGTCAGCAAACCTACCTCCACCAAGTACCCAACAGGCACCCTACTCCTCCAGCAAGCCTCCTGCCCAAAGGCACTCAGTTTTCTTGCTCTGTGGGCCAGGAATCCCACTATGCTGTCTCCTGCCTATCTCTCCTACTGCTGTTTCTCTGCCACTGCTTCTCGTTGTCTTCAGTGTTACAGCTCTCTCTCTCCGCCTCCTGGTGCCAGGAGCCTCTCAACACAGGGATCCCAGGTCCAAAGGACATGCTTCACTCCTGGCTGTTCTTCCTTGGTGGTGGTGAGATCCTTTCCTTCACACCTCTGGAATGGCTCATTTCAAGCCCAGCAGGATGGCAAAACTGACCAATCCCCTTGGTGAGCCACAATTACCCTATTTGCACAGTCCCACCCAGTCCCCACCATATGGAGGTCGCTGGCCAACCTGGCATTTCCCCCACAGAGAAGTATACAGGCAAGATCATCCTCCCAGTCACTTGAGTGGGAGTTTCAAGACCATGGCAAGAAAGGTCCCACAAAAGCAATCCATTGCACTGCACATGGGTTCAGCCCAGTTGCCTGGTAACCTGGAGGAGGGCGCTCATATTTTAGTTTTCCCCCTATGATTGCAGCTGTAACTATGTTGCTGCTCAGTTATCAGAGAATTCCAGAGAGGATCTCTAAGGTCTCTACAAGGCCACTCAACACAAGCTATTGTGAAGGGCTTTTTACTCCTTTTTTTTCCCCTGCTGTTTTAACTCTGGGTATTACAGGATATTCTCACACCAGGGACCTGATTAGCTTCTCCAACTATCTCTGGTCTCATTGTTGGAGGGCTTCGAGCAATGGCTATGGGATTGTTCCCCTAGCCCTTGAATCCCCCGCCTTTACAAACCTGCAGGCACACGTGTCTAGCTGCTTATCCTGATCGCGGATGCAGCTGCTCAATACATCAGTCGTGGCTGCACACAACTGCCACACATCTTTTTTTAACGGTAACTCTTCCTGCAACACTCTTATGTATGCTGCAGCAGCTAGCTGGGCTTCAGTGGCCAGCTGAACAGCCCAGAGTAGCAGCCAATTCACAGCTGCTACTGCTCTCCTAGCTTTCTTCCCACATTTATGAAGGTGCACATCTGCACACAACATGGCTATGCCACTTAGCATTTTTGGGCTATCCTCATACTCCCACAGTGGTCCACATGCAGAAAAGCATATGGGCCAGACTTCCCCACATGGAGGTCACTGGCCAACCTGAAATTTACCCCACAGAGAAGCATACGGGCCAGACCTCCCCACATAGAGGTCACTGGCCAACCTAGGATTTCCCCTACAGAGAAGCATACGGGCCAGCCACCCTACACAGAGGTCACTGGTCAACCTGGGATTTCCCTCACAGAGACCTCACTCCCACTCACCATTTCCTTGGTCTCCTGGCTGGCTCGCCAAGTGTCTAAGCACAGACCAGTAATGTGAAATTTGCCTCTAAAAATGGAGGGTGCCAAGAGACGGGAGAAAGAGGTGGGCAACTCCAGTGCGGCAGCAAAGGAGTTTATTAGGGAGACTTACAGAGGAGACAAGTCCTGAACAGCTGCAAGACCAAAGTAGAACTCCACGCCCCTCAGTGGGAGGGCAGAGGTTTTATAGTAGTGGTGGACAATAGTGGCTACAAGCCAGGGGCTTACAAAAGAATGACTCAGCAAATGGTAGTGAACTAGTGGATCACATGAAGGTGCTCATGTTCAACCTCACAAAGCCTGTTTCCCTTTCAGTCCACCTTTCGAGGCTGGCTCCTAAAATCTGGCACGTTCCCCCTCCCATGCTGCAGCACGATAAGACTCCATTCCCTCCCCACCGAGAACAGATATAGAAATGGGGTTGGCCAGGTGCCACGAGGTCCCCGCGCATGTGCAAGAGACAGAGAAAGTTACTGTGTACCCACAGCAGAGGGAAAGCTTCTCTGATAAGGAGAAGGAACAGGGAGAGAGAAGGTGACCCAATTTCCAGCCTCTTTATCAGCGAATGCTCTGAGCCCAAAGTCTTTACTTAGGAAGCCTGGATAGGAGGCATAGAGGCAGACCATTCCCCCAAAAATTAGAAAATCAATCAGTGTAATACACCACATCAATAGAACAAAGGAAAAAGAACCACATAAGCACCTCTGCCCGTTGCCACTGAGTCAATTCTGACTCATAGTGACCCTACAGGACACAGTAGAACTGCCCAATGGGTTTCCAAGGCTGTAATTTTTATGGGATCAGATTGCCACATCTTTTTCCCATGGGGTGGCTGGTGGGTTTGAACTGCCCACCTTTCAGTTAGCAGCTGAGCGCTTAACTACTGTGCCACCAGGGCACCTTTGATCATCTCCCATTGTTGATGAAAACCCTCAAGAATATTAGAATAGAAGGTAAATTGTTCAATACGATTCAGGGCATATATGAAAAGCCAAGAGCCAACATTATACATAATGGAGGAAGACTGGGAGCTTTCCCCTAGAAATTGGGAACAAGGCAAGGGTGCCTGTTCTCACTACTTCTATTCAATATTGTATTAGAAGTCCTAGCCAGAGCAATAAGACAAGAAAAAGAAATAAAAGGTATCCAGACTAGAAAAGAAGAAGTAAAATTATGTCTATTCACAGATGATATGATCCTATATATAGAAAATCCCAAAGAGTCAGCAAGAAAACTTCTAGAGCTAATAGAATTTAGCAAAGTTGCAGAGTACAAAAGTCAGCTGGGTTTCTATACACCAGCAATGAGAAAGCTGAAAGGGAAATTAGGGAAACAATTCCACTTATAATAGCATCCATAAGAATAAAATACCCAGAAATAAATCTAACCAGGGATGTGAAGGACTTATACAATGAAAATTATAAAACATTGCTGAAAGAGAATAAAGAACACTTAAATAAATGAGAAAGATGTTGCATGTTCATAGATTAGAAGACTTGATATTGTTAAGATGTCAATAACTACCTAAATTGATCTATAGACTCAATGCAATCCTGATCAAATTTCCAACAGCCTTCTTTACAGAAACAGAAAAATCAATCCTCAACTTCATATGGAATGGCAAGATGCCCTGAATAGCTAAAGCAATGATGAAGGAGAAGAACAAAGTAGGAGGACTCACACTTCCTGATTTTAAACATATTATACAGCTACGGTAACCAAAACAGCCTGATACTGGTATAACAACAGACACATAGACCAGTGGAATAGAATTGAGCATCCAGAAATAAACCCACACATCTATGGGCAATTGATTTTTGACAAGGGTGCTAAGTTCATTTGATGGGGAAATAAATGGTGTTAGGAAAACTGGATTTCCACACGTAGAAAAATGAAACAGGATCCATGCCTCACAGTATACACAAAAACAAATAAAAAATGGACTAAGGACCTATATGTACAAACTAAAACCATAAAATTCTTAGAAGGAAATGCAGGGGAAATGCTGTCTGGCCTAGCTTTTAACAATGGATTGTCTAATATAATAACAAGAGCACAAACAGCAAAAGACAAAATAAATAAATGGAACCTCATAAAAATTAAAAACTTTTGTTTATCAAAACTTTACCAAACAACAGCATGCCTTGTATCAAAGGCCTCTGGGTGACAGAAACAGTTCGAACGCAATAGTTAGCCAACTACTAACCTAAAAGTTGGGGTTTGAACTCACCCAGTGGTACCATGGAAGAAAAGCCCAGCGATCAGCTTCCATAAAGACTGTAGCTAAGAAAATCCTATGAGGCAGTTGTACTCTGTAACGCATGGGACTGCCATGAGTTAGAATCGACTCAACGGCAACGGACAATGGAATGCCTTATATCACAGGGTGGAAATCTGACCTACTGCATGTTTTTTGTAAATAAACTTCTATTGGAACACACACACACACACACACACACACACAGAATCCAATCTGGACTTTGGACTTGGAGAGCAAGGGCTTTCCTCTATCCAGTCACTATGGCAGGGAAAGATGGAGGAAGGACACTGGTTTTTAAATGCCTAAAAGTGAAACATAAAAAAAAGAAAGAAAGACTTTACCAAAAAAGTGGAAAGACAAGCTACCAATGGGGAGAATATCTTTGGAAACCATATATCCGATAAGAATCTAATAACAAAAAAATTTGTAAAACTTCAAAAACTTAACAACAAAAAGACACATAACCCAATCATAAAATGGGCAAAGGACTTGAATAGACATTTCACCAAAGAGGACATTCAAATGGCCACCAAATATATGAAAAGATTCTCACCATCATTAGCCATCAGAGAGATGCAAATAAAAACCACAACGAGATACCATTTCACTCACATTAGGATGGCTAAGATATTAAAATTAAAAAAAACAGAAAGTAACAAATACTGGCGAGGATGTGGGAAAACTGGAACCCTTATCCATTGCTGGTGGGAATGCAGTATAATACAACCATTGTGGAAAAGAGTGTGGAAGTTCCTCAAACACTAAAAATTGAACTACCATATAACCCAGCAATTTCAGGTACAGCAAAACCTGTGAAAGCCAGAACTCAGGTAAGGAGGAAACCTGTCAAACAAGGAAAACTATTTTCCACTAATAGAGAAAAGTGGTAAGACTGCACCCTGTCAAAGGTGGAAAACTTGCAAGACCCAGAAAAACAAGGCAGTCCCGTTGAGTTTCACCTGTCCCAGATTTTATTATATATACCCAAAAGACTTAACAGCAGAGACTCAGATGCTTGTACATCAGTGTTCATTGCAGCACTATTCACAATAGCTGAAAGGTGGCAACAACCTAAATGACCATCAACAGATGAATGGATAAACAAAATGTGGTACATACATATTGTGGAATACTACTCAGCCAGTAGGAAAATGAAGTCCTGATACATGCTACAATATGGTTGGAGCTTGAAGACACTATGCTGAGTGAAATAAGTGAATCATAAAAGGGCAATATTGTATGACTTCACTTGTATAAAACCTCTTGGCTTCTTCTAACCATGGCCTCCTCTTACCTGAGACCAGAAGAACTAGATGGTTCCCAGCTACCACTACTGACTATTCTGACCAGGGACACAATAGAAGGTCCCAGATAGAATGAGAGAAAAATGTAGAATAAAATTCAAATTCCTAAAAAGGGCCAGACTTACTGGACCGATACAGACTAGACGAACCCCCAAGATGATTGTCCCAAGATACCCTTTGAACTTGGAACTCAAGCTACTCTTGGAGGACACCTTTCAGCCAAATAATAGATTGCCTTATAAAACAAACCGTATCACCTGTGAGTAATGCACTCCCTTAAACAATCAAGTGTATGAGACCAAGCGGTCAATATTTACCCAAAAGCAAAGATGAGATGGCAAGGAAGGGAAGGGAAGCTAAATCAATGTAAACAGAACAAACAGAATGGAAATAATGAGAATGTTGACAGATTGTGAAAATTGTAACCAATATTACGGAACAATCTGTATAAAAATTGTTAACTGGGAACCCAATTTGCTGCGTAAACTTTCACTTAAAACAATTTTTTTTTTAAAAGACAAGTACAGGCAAATGTATAGAGACCAAAATTTATTAGTGGTTATAGCAGCCCTGGTGGTGGACTGGTTAAGAGCTCGGCTACTAACCAAAAGGTCAGCAGTTCAAGTCTACCAGCGGCTCCTTGGAAACCCTACAGGGCAGTTCTACTCTGTCCTATAGGGTCACTATGAGTTGAAATTGACTCGATGCCAAAAGTGTGGTTTTTTTGGTTTTATCAGAGGCAGGAAGGAGGGGAGAAGGGGAGGTTATTGCTTATGGAGTACCTAAGTTCGGTTTACGATGATGGAAAAACTGCATTAAGGGTAGGGCTGCACAGCCAATTAATGTATTTGCTGTCAATAAGTCATACACCTGTAAAAAGTTGAAGTGGCAAAAGTTGTATGACAGCTGTATCTACAACAACAACAAAAGAGTAGCTGCTGAGGCTGCTTATGTACAGCCAAACACCATATGGGATTTGGTTCCTTGGTTTGGATGTTTACAATCAGTTTCATGGGATATCCCAGTTAATTGGCTTAATATCTTATTTAGTGCTTCTGTTCTACCTCCATCTAGTTCATTGTGTAGTGCCTGGGGTCTTAAAAGTTTGCAAGAGACCATCCAAGACACAACAACTAGTCTTTATTCACCTGGAGCATCAGAGGAAGAAGGAGAGTCAGGAATAGAAGGAAATGGAATGTGTGGCTAATTGTCTCCATGAACAACTGCCTCCTTTGCCATGAGACCAGAAGAACTGGATGGTGCCTAGCTACCACTACTGAACATTTTGATCAAAGATTCTATATTTGATCAAAGATTCTATATTAGAATCTTTGATCAAAAAGGGGAAAATGCAGAATAGAATTTACGATTCTCATGGACTCCAGACTTTCTGGAACCATGGATGCTGGATGAACCCCTGAAATGGTGCCCTGAGATAATTCTTAAACCTTAAACCAAAAATATTGCCTGAAGTCTTCTTAAAACCGAATAGTTTAGCTTAACTAGTAAAGAACATCTGCCTTGAGCATTGAGCTTTTTCAATATGTAACTATATGGGATCAAACTGACAACAGCAATTCAGAAGATTAGATAGGAAATTTAGGGAACAGTGAGTTTATGTTAATGAGGGAGGAACAACTCAATAAAAAGGGTGAGAATGGTTGCACAACTTGAAAAAATGTAATCAATGTCACTGAATAGTACATGTGAAAACTACTGAATTGGTGTACGTTCTGCTCCGTACGCTCTCAACAACAAAATTTTATATATATGATTGTTACACGCAGTGTGGGATAACAGAAATAATTTGGATTTTGAAGCTAAGGAATCTAGATCCACTCCCAACCAGCAGTGTGACTCCATCGTACAGATAACATATGCAAAGCACTTAGCGCATTTTAAGAGCTCAGTAAATTTTATCGATTATTAAACGAGATAATTCACGGGCAGATCGTCTGTAAAGCACAAAATACTCCACAAATGGAAACAGTCAACCCTGCCTGGGTTGGAGCCTCAGAAGGCCCAACGCCAGTTCCCCAGCACAAAGAACGGCCGAGAGCCCTGGCACGCAGGAAGCTGTGTGGAGAGAGGCTGTAGAGAAAAATCGTCTCCCCCTGAACCTTTTCCTCGCATCCCCACCGTTTCCATGGTGAGGCAAATCGTACGCAGGGTCCCTAAATGTAGTGAGAAATGCCAAAATGACTGGGGAATGAGCAGACGCATCACCGTCCAGTTCGCCTGCTAGCTCCAGCCCCACTTCCGGGACCAGTTCATCCCGGCCGGAGGGGGGGGGTCACCGTACACTAGCCCCACACACATCGATCCAGCCCAGGCTAACAACTACTACTGCAATCGCTAGCGGGCGCTCGTCCTACCCATCTCCAGGCACGAGTCCTCATTTGCGCACGCGTGATTTCTTTCCCTCAGTTTCTCCGCCCCATCCCCTTCTCAGCAACCTCGGCCAGTTACGTTCCAGCGGTGTCTTTCACGCATTTCTGACGTACAAGGGGGGCTGGAAGCGGAGCGGAAGTCCTTCGCAATTTGTACGGGAGTGGCAGTGGGGCGGGAGAAAGAAAAGAGAACCCAAAACTGTGACTGATCTGTCTACCTCCCCCACGCCTGTGAAGCAGGAAGGAGGAGGTGCCGGCCGGGGGGGGGTGTGGCCTCGCCGGCGGAGGGCGCTGTGATTGGTCCTCGGCTGTGGCGACATCGTCGATTGGCTTCTGCGTGCGGAGCCTGGTGAGGATGGGTGGCGGCCGTTTGAATTCAAAAGTGGCGGGTGTGTCGCGGAGCTGGTAGCCGCCAGATACCATAGCGCGAGCGTTCTGCGTAGCGACCGAGCGAGCGAATCTGGGTTGCGGGAGCCCCTACGCCCTGTCCTCTTCCATTTCGCTCCCCTGGAGTGTGTGGGACGGAGCTGGACATGGAGCAGCAGGTGACTAGGGGCTGGCGCGGTTCTCCTGCCCCAGGGTCGGGATCGTGCGCGTCCTGTCGCCTGCGGGGACGGTGGCGAACGTCCGTGCCCCACCACGGCGATGTGAGGGACAGGGGGAGAGTGGAGATGGCAGGGAGTAGCCCTAGATGGTTGGATAAATAAATTTGAGAAGGCTTCTACCATTTTTCGTTTTATATCCCGTGCTCTGATTTTTCGTTGCCAGGGTGCAAAGAATCTGTCTTCAGGTTAAAACTTTACTCTGGGTAAATCTGAATGTGAAATACTAGGCTTAGGTCATGGAAGCCCCTACGCCCTTCTTCACTTTCATGTCTTCAGGATTTCCCATTTCGAATTCTTAGGCTTGTCTGACAAGTTTCCGCCTCTCCATTTCTCCCCACGATTGCAGTATGAAATTAAGAGGTAGTGTTCTGAAGAAACGGTATGAAGCCAAACCCCTGCTTTTGTTCTTTTGTTATCTCCTGTTGTCTTACTGCTGCTGCTTTAGGATGTAAGAAGGGGAGAGAGGAAGTAGGGTAATCTATTCTGAAGGGAGCCTCATTCTCCTTCCCCAGGTTTTGCAGAGATCCCTACCCAAGGGGACGGGTTGATAGTTCCATCTCTTTTTGTTGCTCCCCTGCACCCTGCAATTATTTACAGCCTCCCTTCTCAAGCATGTACTGACCTCTGGTGTCAGAAAACTGCTCCTGCCTGAATCCTCTGTTAACTAGTATTTCACATTCAGATTTACCCAGAGTAAAGTTTTATCCTGAAGACAGATTCTTTGTACCCAGGCAACGAAAAATCAGAGCATGGGATATAGTACGAAAAATGGTAGAAGCCTTCTCAGATTTATTCATCAGATATTGAGTACCTACTGTATGCCAGGAGCCCTGGTGGTGCAGTGGTTAAGAGCTCTGCTGCTAACCAAAAGGTCGCCAGTTCAAATTCACCAGCTGCTCCTTGGAAACCGTATGGGGCAGTTCTACTCTGTCCTATAGGGTCACTATACGGCATGGTTCTAGATGAACAAGACAGACAGAAATCCCTGTCATCATGGAGCTGACATTCTATGGGGAGATAAGCAATAAACATCATAAGTAAATTATATAACTCTATTATGGGTGATAAGTTCTATGGAGAAAACAAAAAAGTTGAGCAGGGTGAAAGAGAGGAGGGGAGGCCATCTGACAGGGTGAAGTATTAAATAGGATGATCATAGTAAGCCCCATTGAGGAGGTGAGAGGTGAGTGAAGACTTGAAGGTGAGGGAGCTAGACAAGTGAATATTGAGGAAAGAGCATTCCAGCTAGAGGGAATCTACCAGAGCCCCAAAGTGTTGTACAGCAAGGAGGCTAGTATGACTGGAATGGAGTGAGCAAGGGGAAAAGTGGGAAAGGAAGTCAGGTAATGGAATAGGGTTGCTGAATCACGTTGCTTTTTGTTGGGACTGTTGTAAGGACTTTAACTTTGGACTCTGAGTGAAATGGAGTGTCACTGGATAGTTTTGAGTGAAGAAAGACATGATCTGTTTTACTTTTTAAGAGGATCACTCTGGCTGCTGCAGTGAGATTAGGCTGTAAGGGGGCAAGGATAGAAACAAGAACTGTTAAAAATGCAGGATTTTTTAACCTTGCACTATTTTGGTATTTTGTTTGGGGAGCTGTCTTGTACATGGTAGGATGTTTAGCAGTGCCCTGGTCTCTACACATAAGATGCTTTTAGCACTCTTCCCCCTAGTCAGGACAATCAAAAATGTCTTCAGATATTGTCAAATGTCTCCTTGGGGGAGTGTGTAAAATTGCCCCTCGTTGAGAATTACTGGAGTACAGTAATCTAGGTTAGAGATGATGGTGACTTGGATTAGGATGGTAGCAGTGAAAGTGGTAAGAAGTGGTAGGATTCTGGATGTAGAATCTGTAGAATCAGCCATGCTTTGCTGACAGATTAGATGTAGTGTGTAAGAGAAATAAAGGACTCTGGGTTTTTTAGTTTCAGCAACTGCTGGGTGGAGTTACTATCAACTGAGATGGAGAAGGCTGCAAGAGGAGCAAGTCTGAAGGAGACTGGACATCACAAGTTCAGTTTGGACGTGTTAAGTTTGATATGATTATTTGATTTCCAAGCGGAGACATTGCGGAGGCAGTTCAATATACAAGTCGAGTTCAGGAGCGAGGCCTGAGCTGGAGATATAAATTTGGGAGTTGTCAACATATCGATGGTATTTAAACCATGGGAGTGGACTGTGAGTGTATATAGAGAGTAGAAAGACCACCATTAAAGTCTGGGATGATGAGGAAGACCTACTAGTGAGGTAGGAAAACCAAGAGAGAGCACTAGCTTGGAAGCTAAATGAAGAAAATGTACTAAGGAGAGGAGTGATCAGTTGTATCAAATGCTACTTACTGATAGGTCAAAAATCCTGAAAGTGAAGTAATGATCTAGCAACATATGGTTACTGGTGACCTTGAGGAGAGCAGGTTTGGCAGAGTATTGTTGTGTGCTTCAAGTTGATTTGGACTCATAGTGATCCTATATAACAGAGTAGAATTGCCCCCTTAGGGTTTCTTTGGCTGTAATCTTTACAGGAGCAGATCTCCAGGTCTTTTCCCCCGCTGGTGGATTTGAATCAGGACCTTTCAGTTAGCATCTGAGTGGCTTAACCATTGCGCCATCAGGGCTCCTTTTTGGTAGAGTGGTGGGGGTGAAATCCTGATTGAAATGGGTTTAGCAGGGAAATTGGAAACAGTGAATACTACATAGACAACATTTTTGAGGAATTTTGCTGCAAAAGGCAGCAGAGAAATAAGGTAGTAGCTGGTAGGGAACCAAAACCAAAAAAACCCAAACACATTGCTGTTGAGTCAATTCCAATGCATAGTGACCCTATAAGACAGAGTAGAGCTGCCCCATAGGGTTTCCAAGGCTGCAAACCTTTATGGAACCAGACTGCCAGAGAGAGTGGAGTCAAAAGAAGGATTTCTTTAGGTAGCAAGAATAGCATGTATTGTATACTGATAGGAATGATCTAGTAGAGTGAATAGTCGCTGGTGTAGAGAAGGACGGATTGCAGTGTTCCTGAGTAGGTGAGACCGGGTGGGATCTGATGAATGAGTGGAGGAACTGCCTTAGGAGCAGGTCATTCATCTGTGATCTTGTGGTGAAGTGGACTTAGGAGGGGTTGGATTAGTGTCTGTCTTATAGCAGGTTAAGAACTTATATTTCTCATTGTGGAAAAGTTGGAGGTCATTATGTCTAGCTTTATGAATGGGAGAAAAATAAATACTGTACTCTCTAGAGTTGTCTTGAATAAATAAACCTTGAACACATTTTCAGGATCCCACATAAATTCAGAGGTGGAGGTCTTTAGTAAATCCTCTTCCTAGCCCTGGGATTCCTGGCAATCCTTGGCATTCCTTGACTTGTGGCAGCATAACTCCAATATCTGCCTCTGTCTTCACGTGGCCATCTTCCCCCTGTGTCTGTGTCTCTTTTCCCTTTTTATAAGGGCACCAGTCCTACTCCAGCATAACCTCATGTTAACTAATAATATCTTCAAAGACCCTATTTCCAAACAAGGTCCCATTAACAGGTACCATGGATTAGGACTTCAATATATCTTTTTCAGGACACAATTCAACCTATAACACAGGTAAAGCATTTAAAACAGAGCTCAGTAAATGTTAGCTGCTCCTCCAAACCAGTCTTCAGCTGTAGTGATCTTCCACTCTCTCTGTTATTTATGACTCTCAGCTCTAGCTAAAGGAGTCTATTCGTTTCTTCCATACCAGTCTTCAGCTGTACTGATCTTCCACTCTCTCTGTTATTTATGACTCTCAGCTCTAGCTAAAGGAGTCTATTCGTTTCCCAGCCATACCATATGCATGTTTGAATTTTTACCTTCTACAAGGAGTGCCCATTCCTCTCAGCTTAAGTACTACCCCTAAAGTTAGCTAAAGTCTAATGTTCATCCAGCTTTTCCCTGACAGATTGCTCCCATTTTTATGTTATATTTCACTTCTACCCATGCTATTTGACTAGCATGTGATCTTTGAGTCCCAGCTTTTGCCACATGAGGTATTCAGTTAATACTTGGTGGTGGTGATGTCGAGAATTGAGGCTGGGGCCAAGATGGGGGGTTCTTGGGATGTTTGGGCTCCAGGATGTTGTATTAAAGGTCTCTCTTCTCCCAGCAGAGACACCCCCTGTTGGAAGTGAAAGGGAACAAGGCCCCTTCTCGACTGCCTCTCCCAGGAAGCAGGCTTAAGAGGGGACCTGACCAGATGGATAATGCCTTGGAGCCTGAGAAGGTGAGCTGGTTTGGAGGGCTGTGCGCGCACGCACGTGTGTGTGTGTGTGTGTGTGTGTGTGTGTGTGTGTGTGTGTGTAAACCAAGCAGGGAGGTTAGGATGACTGTGGACCCCATTCTTCTCTTTCTTCAGAAACGGATACGAGGCCTGGGCACAGTAACCAAAATTGCTACATCCCACCCTAGAGCACCACCCCTCACTTCAGTGCCACAGACACAAGGCCAGACCACAGGTGGGTACTAGTTCTGGACGGGAACCAAGGGCCTGGAAGTCCAGTGCTCTCCAGCTTACTTCATTATTTTCTTTCAATTTTAGTTGGTTTTGAATAGGTAACACATTTCACCTGGTTCAAAATTCAAAAGGCACGAAGTTTGTTATATAGTGAAAAGTCTCCCTCCTACCTCTTTCCCCTAGCCAGCCAGTTGCCCTCCCCAAAGGCAACTGTGTTCTTCCAGGGTTATTCTGTGGTTATTCAAACAAACATGGACATATTCTCCCAAATTTTTTCTGTACACAACTGGTAGCATACTTTACACAGGATTCTGCCCCTCTGCTTCTTTTTGCTTATCTTGGTGCAGTTGTTGGCACAATTGGCCATTATGAGCTGGCCAGACTTAGGGAAGAGGGGTTGTTGTTAGGTGCCGTCCGAACAGTTCTGACTCATAGCGACCCTGTGTGCCACAGAATGAAACACTGCCCGGTGCTGTGCCATCCTCACAATCGTTGCTATTTTGAGCCCATTGTTGCAGCCGCTGTGTCAGTCCATCTCGTTGAGGGTCTTCTGCTTTTTCGTTGACCCTCTAGTTTACCAAGCATGATATCCTTCTCCAGGGACTGGTCCCTCCTGATAACATGTCCAAAGTATGTGAGACGAAGTCTCGCCATTCTTGCTTCTAAGAAGCATTCTGGCTCTACTTCTTCTGAGACAGATCTGTTCATTCTTCTGGTGGTCTATGGTATATTCAATATTCTTCGCCAGCACCATAATTCAAAGGCATCAATTCTTCTTCGGTGTTCCTTATTCATTGTCCAGCTTTCACGAGCATGTGAGGCGATTGAAAATACCATGGCTTGGGTCAGGTGCACCTGAATCCTCAAGGTGACATCTTCGCTTTTTAATACTTTAAAGAGGTCTTTTGCAGCAGATTTGCCTAATGCAATATGCTGTTTGATTTATTGACTGCTGCTTCTATGGGTGTTGATTGTGGATCCAAGTAAAATGAAATCCTTGACAACTTGTCTTTTTTCCATTTATCATGATGTTGCTTATTGGTCCATTTGTGAGGATTTTTGTTTTCTTTATGTTGAGGAGTAATCCATACTGAAAGCTGTGGTCTTTGATCTTCATCAGTAAGTGCTTCAAGTCCTCTTCGCTTTCAGCAAGCAAGGTTGTATCATTTGCGTATCATGGGTTGTTAATGAGTCTTCCTCCAATCCTGATACCCTGTTCTTCATACAGTCCAGCTTCTTGGATTATTTGCTCAGCATACAGATTGAACAAGTATGGTGAAAGGATACAACCCTGACACACACTTTTCCTGACTTTACACCACGCAATATCCCTTGTTCTGTTCGAATGACTGCCTCTTGATCTATGGACATGTTCCTCATGAGCACAATTAAGTGTTCTGGAATTCCCATTCTTCATAATGTTATCCATAATTTGTTACGATCCACACAGTTGAATGACTTTGCATAGTCAATAAAACACAGGTAAACATCTTTCTGGTATTCTGTGTTTTCAGCCAAGATCTATCTGATATCAGCAGTGATATCCCTTGTTCTGTGTCCTCTTCTGAAATCCAGCTTGAATTTCTGGCAGTTCCCTGTTGATGTACTGCTAGAACAGTTTTTGAATTATCTTCAGCAAAATTTTATTTGTATGTGATATTAATGATATTGTTTGATAATTTCCACATTCTGTTGGGTCACTTTTCTTTGGAATGGGCACAAATATGGATCTCTTTCAGTCAGTTGGACAGGTAGCTGTCTTCCAAATTTCTTTGCATACATGAGTGAGCAATTCCAGCGTTGCTTCCCTTTGTTGAAACATCTCAAGTGGTATTCCATCGAATCCTGGAGCCTTGTTTTTTGCCAGTGCCTTCAGTGCAGCTTGGACTTCTTCCTTCAATACTGTCAGTTCTTGATCATATGCTACCTCCTTAAATGCTTGAATATGGAAGAGGGGAGTTAATCTTATTTCTGATCCTCAGAAAAGGCAACACTACTGTTCCCGGCCTGGCCAGTGTACATGCCACCCTGAGAATGATTGTTCTACTTTTTCCTCTCTCCCATCTCTTGACAGCCCAGAAAGTTCCCAAGAAAACAGGACCATGGTGCTCTACAGCTATTACTACAGGTAATAAATACAACTTAAAAGCTGGGGCTAAGAGGGGACTTGGGGTATGTGTGGGGGAGAATGATGGAGGTGGAAGGACACTGGTCCTATAACTCCCCATGTCAACTCCCTAATTCCCTAGTGTCGAAGAGCAAGAAGCCAGTAGCTGCTGTTCCTGCCCAGAAGCCTGATAGTAGGTGACAAATGTAACTATTGGGTGAGAGGCTGGGCCACTAAGATAGGGACGAGGAGGTGGTGAGTACCCAAAAAAATCCGTTTGGTCTTTTTTCCTATCTGGAGAGGAAGGAGATAGATGTAGCATTAGGTGTGGGAGCCCTAAATGCTGGAAGGACTTTGTCCTTTGTCACTGACCTTTGTCTTTTTCATACCCATCATAGCATCAGCTGTTCCTCCCATGGTGGGAGGGAAGAAGCCCAGCAAACGTCCGGCCTGGGATTTAAAGGGTCAGTTAGGTGACCTAAACATAGAGCTGAAACGCTACCGTGAGAGGACTCAAACGTTGGACCAGGAAAACCAACAGCTGCGGGCTCAGCTCAAAGAAGCCCAGCAAGAGGCCAAGGCCCTGGGAGAAGAACGTAGGACACTGAAAGAGGAGTTAGCCAAGGTGCAAGCTCAGGCAAAGCAAGGCCAGCAGGAGCTGGGGAACCTGAGCGCCCGTGTCCTGGAGCTGGAAGAGCGGCTGGGCATGCAAGAGGGCTTGGTGCAAGAGCTCCAGAAAGAACAGTTAGAATTGCAGGAGGAGCGGAGGGGACTGGCTGCCCGGCTGGAGGAGCAGGAGGTAAGGGCTGGATTCTCCCCAAATGCCAACCCTTATTCTCTTGGCAGAGAATGTGCTCCCATTCCCCACCCCCACCCCCACCCCCGACCCCCCTAACACACACACACCACCTTCCAGGTTCTCCTGAAGCCTCTTTGGTCTCAGAATCCCTGACCACCTACCTCCAGCAGTATACCGGTGTCTTCCACCCATCTCCACCCCAGCCCACTCCTGACTATCTTGCTTTCTGCTCCACTATGCCCCATCCTCAACTCTGCTTTCATAGCTCCCACCTGGATCTGTGTCTCGCCTAGTCCTCCATCTCGCTGTCTTTCTTTAGGTGCCCATCTTGATCAAAAATCCCCACGGCAGTCTCTTTCCCTCTTGTTATGCCCATTTGTCCCTTTTTTGGTGAGTGCCAACTAGATTGAATTACTTGCAGTCCCTCAAGTGACTGAACTCTTATTTCTGGGCATTTTGCATATGTGCTTCCCTCTTTCTGCAGTGTTCTTTATCTACTCCATCCTTCCTTTGTTCACTCTTATACTTTTGGGTCTCAACTTAGATAACACCTTCTTTGTGCCTCTCCTGGCTATTCCCATAGCAGTCTCTGTTCTAGCATGAGTCCCTGTTTTTTTTTAATCTCTCTTTCCTCACCAGACTGAGAGTTCCTTGGGGGCAGGGACCGCACCTTCACCTCATCTTGGCCCTACGACTTGTTCTTATTCTTGGTTTCATCTTATCCTTTCCATCTGTTTTGTTCCGCGCAGAGGAGGCTGCAAGCATCAGAAGTGGCTCTGTCAAGCAGCCAGGCAGAGGTGGCATCTCTGCGCCAGGAGACTGCAGCCCAGGTGACTTTACTGGCTGAGCGGGGAGAGCGTCTTCACGGGCTGGAGATGGAGCGCCGACGACTACACAATCAGCTACAGGAACTCAAGGGCAACATCCGTGTATTTTGCCGAGTCCGCCCAGTCCTTCCGGGGGAGCCTACCCCACCCCCTGGCCTCCTCCTGTTTCCTGCTGGCCCTGGAGGGCCTTCTGATCCTCCAACCCGCCTCAGCCTCTCCCGGTCTGATGAACGGCGTGGGACCCTGAATGGGGCACCAGCGCCCACCACCCGCCACGACTTTTCCTTTGACCGGGTATTCCCGCCAGGGAGTGGACAGGAAGAGGTGTTTGAGGAGATTGCCATGCTTGTCCAGTCAGCCCTGGATGGCTACCCAGTATGCATCTTTGCCTATGGCCAGACAGGCAGTGGCAAGACCTTTACAATGGAGGGTGGGCCTGGAGGAGACCCCCAGCTAGAAGGGCTGATCCCCCGGGCCCTGCGGCACCTCTTCTCCGTGGCCCAGGAGCTGGGTGACCAGGGCTGGACGTACCGCTTTGTGGCGAGCTACGTAGAAATCTACAATGAGACCGTCCGAGACCTGCTGGCCACTGGGGCCCGAAAGGGCCAGGGGGGTGAGTGTAAGATTCGCCGGGCCGGGCCAGGGAGTGAGGAGCTTACTGTCACCAATGCCCGATATGTCTCCGTCTCCTGTGAGAAAGAGGTAAGGACTCATGGGTGCTGGGACTGGGACATAGGGAAGGAGTGGGCAGGGTAACACAGAGGAGGTAGGTGGAGAAAAGAGCAGGAGAAAGTTGAAGGATGAAGGGTGAGTTGGTGAGGAGAGGTGGCCACATTTCATTTTGGCTTGTGGGCTATAAGATAAATCTCCTTTAACAGAACCAGGGATCATAGAGGAGTGATGCAGCTGCTGAAGTAGGAGGGGCTCTGGCCCCCTGCCTGTTGCATCTCAGGTCTCATTTCCTACTGCTCTCCTTGCTCAGCTCACTGTAGCCATGCTGGCCTCCTGGCTGTTCCTCAACTCGCTGGTCACACTGCTGACTTCGGGCCTTTGCACTTGCTGTCTACTTTGCCTGGATGCTTCTCCCCTGGAATGGTTCATTCCCTCATTGCCTTGAATTCTTCAGGCAGCAAGGCTGTCCCTGATCATCCTGTGTAAAATTGCAATGCCCATTCCACCCTCACACACTCCCTATTATTCTGTTTTGTTTTACTCCTTAGCACTGTCAGACATAATCTGCATTCTACTTATTTATTTTGTTTCCTCAACTGCTTGAAAGAAAGCCCCGAGAGGGCTGGGGTGACTCATTCATTGCTATACCTGATATCGCTATGTACTGACTTCTATTTGCCTTTTCCTCTTGCTGCTCCCCATCCCCAGGTGGAGGCCCTGCTCTATCTGGCCCGCCAGAACCGGGCTGTGGCCTGCACAGCCCAGAACGAGCGGTCGTCACGCAGCCACAGTGTGTTCCAGCTGCAGATCACTGGGGAGCACACTGGCCGGGGCCTACAGTGTGGGGCCCCCCTCAACCTGGTAGACCTGGCCGGGAGTGAGCGGCTAGACCCCGGCTTAGCCCTTGGCGCTGAGGAGCGGGAACGGCTTCGGGAAACGCAGGCCATTAACAGCAGCCTGTCTACACTGGGGCTGGTCATCATGGCCCTGAGCAACAAGGTGGAGGAGGGGGCAGGTGGGACCTGGGGGTAGGTTGGGTCTGCCCATGCTAAACCCTTCTCTGTCCTAACCACTTGTGCCCCCTCAACCCTCTAGGAGTCCCACGTGCCCTACCGGAACAGCAAGCTCACCTACCTGCTGCAGAACTCTCTGGGTGGCAGTGCTAAGATGTGAGTGAAAGGGGCAGATGGAAGGTGTGGGGTAGGAATGGAGATGGGACAGATGTTCAGGGTTGGGAAAGGGGAACATGGAGACCTGGTCCAGCTCCCCCCAGCCACTGATACTGGGGTTTGGCCCCCTCTTGTCTTTCCACAGGCTCATGTTTGTGAACATTTCCCCCCTAGAAGAGAACGTCTCTGAGTCCCTCAACTCCCTGCGCTTTGCCTCCAAGGTGCGATTACCACCAAGCCAAGGCCCTGTCAGGCCCTCTGGACGGTATAGGCTTCTCCATTCTGACCCCATCTGCCCCTGAGGCTGGGGGTAGCATGTTCATCCAGAAAGGATTTACATGTGCTTCAGCCAGATAGCTGGGGCATTACCCACCTGGATCCATTTTTAAATAATTGAGTTTTTTAAAGTAGGTCAAAACTGTATAGAAAGCTATACACATACATGAAGTCTTGCTACCACCCATTTCTACCCCATCCTCCCACCCCACCTTCCCTGTATAGGTACTCATTTTTATCATTTCTTATTTATTTTTCCAGTTTCTTGTTTTGCAAATGCAACCTATATACGTGTTCTTATTCTCCTCCATCTTATATAAATGATCTCTTTCTCTCTCTCTCTCTTATGTATACGTGTAGTTCTGCCTCTTACTTGTTTTGCTTAACAATATAGGCCCAAGATTCCTCCCCATCAACACACAGAGTTGATTCGTTCTCTCTAGTTCTGCCTAGCACTCCACTGTGTGGATGCACCAAAATTTATCCACCAGTTCCCTCTGCTGGACACTGGATTTATTCCATTCTTTTACTGTTACAAACAAGACCATACTGATTAACTTTATACATGTCATTTTATATTTGTTTCATTACATCTATGAGAGAGATTCCTAGAGTGGGATTGCTGGATCAAAAGAGACATGAGTTTTTCAGACCATTGCAAATAGTGTGAATTCGGGTTCCAAACTCCATGAGGGTCAGCTGGTGGCCATGAATTTTCAAGGAGACTTATACCCTCTCCACCAGTCAGGTGTGCCTAGTGGGCATCAGAGAACTAACCAGCCTGAGCTTACCTCCCGAGCCCCTATTTCACTATTCACTGAGGGCAGCCCTAGCATTAGGGGGTGTGAGGGGATATCAGGAAAACTGTTCTTTTGGTTACTCTGCAAACTTTTTTATCCTGTCCATCTGCCCACAGGTGAACCAGTGTGTTATTGGTACTGCCCAAGCCAACAGGAAATGAAAATGGATCCAGATCCTGTGGGTGTATGTGTCTGTCCATGTGTGCCCAGTTCTGTGCCCATGTGTGTTTTGGGGGAGAGGGTTGCTGAGGGATGCTTTATGGGAGGGGAGGGGTGAGGAAGGCTGTGTACCTTGGCCTATCAAATAAAGAATTTTTTTTAAAAAAATAAAGGTTTTATTAGCAGATACCCAAGGAGGGAGCTATTTTTCATATGCCTAAACATGGGAACAGTGGATCTGTCCACTCTGCCAAGTGTGTGTTTTGTGGGGTGAAGCCTACAGTTTTTCTCCTGGACACTCCTCCCGCTGGAGTCTGAGGGGGGCCTTCAGTTCTTTGCGGTTCTGGACCCTGGTCTGGCCCATCTCCCCCTCACCTAACGTCCCTTCCCCATCACAAATACCAAGGAGGTGCACCCACTAGCTACCCACAGTCCCTCCATGGTCACCTCCACCGTTTCGCCCTGACCATCGGCCACCCCAGCCCCTGGTAGACACGTTCCTATGGTAGATGTAGAACAGGAGTCGAGGGGCGGGGACTAGCGTGCACTCCGCAAACTGCGGGCTCTTCCCGCCCGTTTCCTGCCTTCCTGTTCGAATCGCCAGAGTTCTGTCCCCCCGCCGTTCATTGGCTGGCTCTCGGTGACGTCACTGGTATCTCTCCTCGTCCTTGCAATAGCCCTCAAAGCCCAGGGCGGGACATACAGGGGAGGCGGGAGCGCGCGCCCGCCGAATCCCTCGCGCCAACAGCCAACGGCCACCGCCCGGTGAAGGAGGGGCTCAGTCTTCCCAGGTGCCGCGCGCAGGAGGGGCCACGCGTGCGCAGAAGCGCAGCGGGGGGGGGGGACAACTTGCCAAGGAGAGGGCGGGGCTGGGGGCAACGGCGAAAGAAGGGCGGGGCACTCAAGGGAGGAGGGCGTGGCGGGGGCAAGGGAAGGGCGAATGGGGGGCGGGGCCATGACTGGGGCCGGGGGGGCGGGACTTCGAGTGACCATGTTGTTGGGGGGCTAGTTAATGGATGTAGCATGGGGCGGGGGACCAGACTCGAGGCGGAGTGCCGGGAGGGGGGATTCCCTCTTGCCCCAAGGGCGGGTCTCCCGTCGGAGGAAGGGGGTGTGGGGATTCCCTTTCCCTCCGGGTCCGACTGTCCGCCCGCCCCACCTGCAGAGGTGGCGCTGTGCGCTCAGAGCCCTGCAGGCTTGCTGGAGGTGAGGGAGGTGGGGTGAGGTGGTGCCCGCCCCCCCGGCTCCTCCTTCCCCCCGGCCCTCCCCTCCCACCACCCTCCCCCTAGTCGGTCCGTCCCTCCCCTCCTTTCCCCCGCCGCCTCCTCCTGCCGCTGCCGCTGCTTTGGCTGCTGCGTCATACGCCCCAGAGCTGCTGGGACGGAGGGGCTGGGCCTGGGGACCCCCCGGCCTTTGCCTGCACGCCCTCCGACGCCCGGACGTGCCCTCCCCGCGTGGGGGGCTCGCCTAGATCTCCCACGGCTGCTCCTGCCCGGCTCCCGGCGGCCCCAGCTGTCACCGGTAAGGAGGCGGCGGGAGGCGCCTGGTGTGTGGGGGGGGCAGGGAGCCGGGGGTCGGCGCGCAGGGCGCAGGCGGGAGAGCCCACGCCGCCTGGGTATCGGGTTGGCCAGGCCGATTCAAGTCCTCTCTAGGACTCGCCGGTCGTGGGGAGTAGAGACCGGGATGGGACACGCCCCCCTCTGGGGGCACTCAGGGAAGTTATCTAATCCCGGGGCAGGGAGCCCCGAATTTGAGGGTGACCTGACATAACCCGGCACCAGAGTGATTGTTCTGAATGAGACACGAGGGCCTGGGGAGGCAGCCGTTTCTGAGAGACTCTGGAAGACATCTCCAGGAAAGCTCCCCAAACACATCTCTGGACAACCGAGCACCCCAATTATGATACCTCTAAACAGCATGGGAAGGTGACAGTAGAAATTGAGTAGCCTTTGCTTGTGCAACCGTCGTTTCTCCTAAAATCTCAAGGCCAGGCTATAATTTCCCAGGGGAGCTCTGGAAGCTGGGAAACTAGTGGATTAGGTTGTGGAACGAGGAGGGGTATTAGGGAGAGGAAAGCTAGCACCAGAGTTGGGAGAGCTGGAGTCAAGAAGCTGGTGCAGAGTGCCCCAGGTGTCTTAGGGATTTAGAGACTTGAGGGCGCAGCTGCTTGAACTCAGGACAGAAAAACAGGCAGAGAAAATGGGGAAGGATTCTCAGCATTCATAACCTTCTTCTCCCATCCTATTTCTGGCTAGGCCCCCCCAGGATGCAATGGCGCAGCCCCCCCGGCTGAGCCGCTCTGGTGCCCCCTCGCTTTGGGACCCAGCTTCCCCTGCTCCCACCTCAGGCCCCAGACCTCGACTTTGGGAGGGTCAAGATGTATTGGCCAGATGGACTGATGGGCTCTTATACTTGGGGACTATCAAGAAGGTAAGAGTTTTGATCTCTGACCTGTCACCTTCTTCTCATTCTCTTTATATAATTCTGGCTCTCATTTCATCCTCTGTGTTCACCCTTCCAGGTGGACAGTGCTCGGGAGGTGTGTCTGGTCCAGTTTGAGGATGATTCCCAGTTTCTGGTTTTATGGAAAGACATTAGCCCTGGTGAGACCTTAGAGGCCTGAGAGCATGTATCCTATGGAAACAGAAACCTGGTTTGTGGGGGTAGGGGCAGAAGGAGGCTTAAAGGCTGGCCCCCTGACACTGTGTTCCCTCACAGCTGCCCTCCCTGGGGAGGAACTCCTCTGCTGTGTCTGTCGCTCTGAGACTGTGGTCCCCGGGAACAGGCTGGTCAGCTGTGAGAAGTGCCGCCATGGTGAGAAGGCTGGTCCAGCTTGCCCGGAGCTTTCCAGGCTGCCTTTGGCCCTTCCTCCTATACCCATCCTTATGCTACCTGTCCAGTCTGAGTCCCCAGGTCACCACTCTGGTCAGTCTCCTCAACCCTGTAACCTTCCCCACTTCCAACCCAGAGAGAGGCAGCCATGGAATGGGGGATGTTGTGGGCTTTGCAGGTATAAGGTGGTTCAAGTACACTCTCTTCTACACTCATATGATCTCGGGCAAGTCCCTTAATCTCTAGGAGCCTCAGTTCCCTCACCTGTAAAATAAGGATAGTAACTACCCCTCTCCTTCAGCAGGACCACAGTCAAAGATTGAGATGGATAAGACTAATCCTAGTCAGGTGCCTAACACAGGTGTGCAGTATACTAAGTGGTCTATTACCAATATTATTCAGCTTATCACCAGGACTGCCACGTTCCAAGGGCCCCAGCTCCTGGAGAGGGAGAGGGTCCATCTCCCTGGGTCTGCCGCCAGTGTGTCTTTGCCATTGCCACCAAGGTAAAGGTACCTCCCTGTTACCCCTACTGAACTGGCTTTCTGTGGGAGCTCCCCAACCCACAGCTTCTCCCAAGCCTCTCCTGTCCCCACCTGTCTGAGACTTTTTGCCTGTTCTGTCTCTGCAGAGAGGGGGTGCCCTGAAGAAGGGGCCCTATGCCCGGGCCATGTTGGGCATGAAGCTCTCTCTGCCGTATGGACTGAAGGGGCTGGACTGGGATGCTGGACATCTGAGCAATCGGCAGCAGAGCTACTGTTACTGTGGTGGCCCTGGGGAGTGAGTAATGAGGAGTAGGGGGCTAAGGAATGAGTGACATAGAGTAAGGCATCCCAGGGAATGTAGGAGAAAGAATGGGGGAGGGGAGTGCTGAGGGGAATGGGGGTAGGTGACAAGCAGGGTTTGAGGCAGTTGTGGGGTGGGGGCGGGGGTGTCTGGAGGACAGTTTGTCTCTTGTTCCCCTCAGGTGGAACCTGAAAATGCTGCAGTGCCGGAGCTGCCTGCAGTGGTTCCATGAGGCCTGTACCCAGTGTCTGAGCAAGCCCCTCCTCTATGGTGACAGGTGAGACCAGGGAAGACACTCCAGGAACTGAGGAAGCTTGTCTTGCTTGGGCTCCCTTTCAGATCCCCCATGCCTTTCTTCTCTCCAGTAACTTCCCAGCCTCACCTGTTTGCCCCATCCTTGCTTGTAAGTTGTCTGTAGAGCATAATTTTCTAGCGTAAGGTATGTTCTCTCTCTCTTGCCTGTGTCCAGGTTCTATGAGTTTGAATGCTGTGTGTGTCGGGGAGGCCCTGAGAAGGTCCGGAGGCTACAGCTTCGCTGGTGAGCTGGCTTGGACATGACCTCAGTGTAACTCTTCTTAACACCCCCAGTAGTTCACCCTATATGCCCCGACCTTCCACCCTGGGACTCGTCTGGCTTTTGTAATGCTTTTGTGACCTTGACAACCCTGTGTTTCTCCAGGGTGGATGTGGCCCATCTTGTCCTCTATCACCTCAGCGTTTGCTGTAAGAAAAAATACTTTGATTTTGACCGTGAGATCCTCCCCTTCACTTCTGAGAATTGGGACAGTTTGCTCCTGGGGGAGGTAAGGGGTAGTGAAGCTATGGAGCTTAGGGTGGGACAGGGAGGTGTGGAGGAAAGGGGGAGAGAGGGCTCATTGCTCCCCTGACCCCATTTTCCTTCCCCTCCCCCAGCTGTCAGACACCCCCAAGGGAGAGCGTTCTTCCAAGCTCCTCTCCGCTCTCAACAGCCACAAGGACCGGTGAGTTGGAGGGATAAATAGGCAAGGAGGCTTCAGAAAGAGAGCTATGGAAGCTTGGGAGGAGAGGGATTGCAACCCACCAGAAGGATCATCTCTGAAAAGGATTAACTATCAGCATTAGAGGGTCCCTTTTCATGTAGCACTGACCCTGTATCATTTTTCTCCTTGCCCCAGTTTCATTTCAGGGAGGGAGATTAAGAAGAGGAAATGCTTGTTTGGTCTCCATGCTCGGACCCCTCCCCCGGTGGAGCCCACTGGAGATGGAGCCCCCACCAGGTCACTGGTCCAGGGGGAATGGGGAAAATCCTCAGGGGATTAGTCTGGGGGCATATGTACATAGAAAAGGGGGGTCTTTGGGGTGTCCGGGAGGGGGCTGGGGGGATAAGGAGGCCTCTTACAGCTTCCCTTCAGGGCAGGGCCCTGGGGGAGGGGTCTCACGTCCCCTGGGGAAGCGCCGGAGGCTGGAGCCAGAGCCCCTGAGGCAGAGGCAGAAGGGGAAAGTGGAGGAGCTGGGGCGACCCTCGGCAGTGCGCAATCACCCCGAGCCCCAGGAGCAGAGGGAGCGGGCTCGTCTGCAGAGGGCGCTGCAGGTACAGGGGCAGGGAACCCTATGGGGTGAGTGGTGGGGTGTAGGAAGGAATCAAGGATTATCTCTCAGTCCCTTGCCCCTTCTAGGCCTCAGTGTCTCCACCACCCCCCAGCCCTAACCAGAGTTACCAGGGCAGCAGCGGCTACAACTTCCGGCCCACAGATGCCCGCTGCCTGCCCAGGTGAGTCTTATCCCCCAACCAGCTGTGCTCTTAGAATCTCTCCTCCAATTGTTTACATCCTCTGGACTTTCTCACTCAGATCATGTTTTCCAAAGTTCCTTTCCCTCTCACTTTGGCTACCTACTTCTCATCCTAGGGAGATTTCTAGAACCACTGTCTGGTGCCCAGTACCCTGGAGATAGGGGTAACCTGGGGGGCAGTGTTTAAGCTGCCTTTCCCAGGGAGAGAGGGCCCTGTTTCCCTGCTTCACGTCCTGACATTCACCCTCCCACCCCCCAGCAGCCCCATCCGGATGTTCGCTTCCTTCCATCCCTCTGCCAGCACCGCAGGGACCTCTGGGGATGGAGAACCCCCAGACAGGTGAGATTCTACCTTCCTTTATCTGTGATACCCTCTCTTTTCCTCTGTACTCTCAAGTTCCTCAGTCTCTAATCATTTTTTCATTCCTCTGATCTGTATTTGGTCTCCATTTCTGGTCAGTTCTTGTCTGCATCTGTCTGGGCTCAAAATTGCCTTCTCTCCCCAGGTCACCCCTGGAACTTCACATTGGTTTCCCCACAGACACCCCTAAAAGTGCCCCCAACTCGATGACTGCCTCATCCTCCTCAGTCCCAGCCCCCTCCCCAGGTCTTCCAAGACGCTCAGCACCCCCTTCTCCCCTCTGCCGTAGTTTGTCTCCTGGGACTGGGGGAGGAGCCCGAGGTGGGGCTGGCAGTGGCTACCTGTCCCGAGGGGACCCTGTCCGGGTCCTTGCTAGGAGAGTACGGCCTGATGGCTCTGTGCAGTACCTGGTTGAGTGGGGAGGAGGGAGCATCTTCTGAACAGCCTGCCTCTGCCCACCTCCCCATTCACACACACCGGCACTTTCATACCCTGACCTCACCTGCAGCTGGGATGTACCTGGGGATGTAGCGGGGTAGTTCTCCCTACTGCCCAGGCTGGAATCTAGATTGGGGTATGGGGAAGAGGCTCTCTCTTCTCTACCTCATTCATGATTCCTGGACCCCGCCCCCATCCTTCTTCCCATTTCCTTTGATGTTATTTTGTTACAGCTTTTAAAATATTTTTTAAAATTATTTAACCCCTGGGGGCGGAGACTGAGAAGGGGGGGATTATAGGGGATCCCAGACTCTGTATGATTGAAATAAAGAGAAATAAACAAATCTAGCAGCCCTGAGTCATTCTGAAAGAGGGGAGAACACAGGGATTAGAAGCATTTTTAATTTTCCCCAACAAATTTGCATACATGATAAGACAAAAGGCAAAGAGAACCAAAGTAAGATTTATTGGGGACACAGTCATCACTTGGCAGTCAGACGGCGGCACTGATGTATATGAGGGGATCATGGTGGGGACAGGGCTGCTCATGGTAGGACTGTGCTGGAGTCAGAAACAGACTCTGTGACCTGGCGCACCCACTGTAGATACAGGGAGTTCCCCTGCTCCACAGGCAGTGCAATCACCTCTGCAACTTCATAAGGGTGCACAGAACTGCAAGAAAGGTTTTGGAGGGTAAGGATCATGCAGACTTACCCAGAAGACTCCGCTCCCTTAGACACAAGCCCTAGACTGCCCAGCAAGTTCTCACCGAACAAAATCTGTTAAAGCTGGAACCAAGGAACTTTGGGTTTTAATCATCTAAGGGGTAAGGAGAAATACAGTTGAGTCAAGATGTGCAGTAGATTTCAGGATCTCAGATGAGGGACAGGGACCAAAGGAATGTCAGGGAATTGGGGAGGTTTTGTTGGGGAAATGTTTCTCACCATTAGCACCTCACTGTCCTCTTCAATCTTTCCTTTCCATTCATAGCTGAAAAGGTAGAGGAAGACTGTTGTGGGGAGCAAAGAATCCTCCTGGGTTAAAGGCTCCCTGTAAGACCCAAGTTAGGTTAACCCTCCAACTCCTGTGACTCACATGGATGTAATCTGAGGGATGAGATTGACACAGGCTGCTAGGCGCTTCTCCACCACAGCCCTAAAGGTGACAGAGACAGCCCCATTCAGAGCGCCCCCTGACCTGGAATTTTGTACTGGCAGCCCAGGCACAAGCTTCCAAAGCAATGGGAGGGCCCTCCTCCCCCATCTCCAACTATTCCCTTCATGATCATCCTTCCCCACCCCCACTGAGGTCCCCACCTAGCGATCTCCTTGGCGACCTTCTCATTGGGGCAGGTGACAAAGGCTGCTGAGACTGAGCCGGGGACGTAGCTGGAGCCCGAAGCCGGCGAGGGCTGGGACGGGGGACTTCCAGCGGCCATGGAGAGCAGGGCTCGGGGTAGCAACAGAAGACGGGAGGCCACAGGCAGCAGCGCTGGCATCCAAAGAAGCGACAGGAGCAGAGCGGCCTGAGAACGGGGTGAATTCGGTCTCTCTCTTCTAATAGTGCAGGAAAATGCCCCGAGGGAACCCTTCACTTGGATAGACACTCTGGCTCTGCACTACCTCTCCTGCTCCCCGAAGGAATACGTCCCTGAAGCTAGGAGACAAACTTGGAAAATTAAGGCAAAGAATTCTGATTCTGAGTGAGGGTAGTGGTCGAGACTTCGAGGACCGGAAGGGACGGGGCCGGTCACTCACCACTCCGCCGAGCAGGATCGCGGGAGCCCGCCCCCACCTCATGCAGCCTGTGCTGGTAGAAGAGGGTTAAATATCAAAGGCCACACGTTACACGGAGAAAGGACCCCAGACCCAAGAAGAGTAGCCTCTTCTTACCTACGCTGCAGCCACGTGATAAGAAAACAGCGCACACCACGTGACAGTAGAAGCTGGATCACCAAGCCTCCATAGCCAGCCAATCTTAGCAGTTACCTGGCCCTGTTTGCCCCGCCTCCTGATGGGGGAGGAGCCAATAGGAACTTGACCAATCGTCAGTCGCATCTGCAGACATTTACGGAAATGGCACGCCCACTTCCGCATAAACCGGAAACGGCCTGTTGCTGGCTGAGGAGTGTAGCTGTGGTGTTCTGCTGTCACGTGAAGGGGCCGGTCCTGTCAGGCTACTGTATCTCTTTGAGTGACACGAAGAGGCCAATCGCAGCTCAGTCCCTCAGGCCATGTGAAAAGAGAACTAACGCTAGGAAAGGGGAGGCCGGAGCCCCCACAGACCTGATGCGTCAGGTTGTGGCGTGGAGAGTCATCCCTAAGCCCCAGAATGAGCGTAGTTAACAGCTCCTACACTGTTCCTGAGGCCTTAAGGAGTGGGAGGGGCTGAGAAGATTGAACCTCAGGGGGTGAAAAGAGCGCCCCCTGCCTTTTTAGTTAGGACTGATACGTGCCCGGGTTTGGGAAAGAACAACGATGATCCGAGGAGAGGCCAGCTGGCCCTGGGTAGGGGGCAGTGTTTAGGCAGGTACGAGACATGGCAAGACATGACTGGGTCAGGAATGATGCATTGTAAAAGGACAGAGAGACCCTGTAAATGGATATAGAATGATGAAAGTGGGGCTGAGGGCGTTTCAGCTCTCGTAACTTAAACCCCAAAGCTGGAAACAGATTGGTGGCTCAGAAGAGAGAAGAAAAGAGGGCACAAGGAAGTAGTGATGGTCCTTTTGTCCCCTATTCCCTGCCATTCCTCTTTTCAGGACAGGTCCACCTCTCAGCTTTGGGTATCCTTCCCTTAATCCATCCCCCTAGGAGCCAGGACCTGCCCTACATTCCCTCCCTGGGGCCCAAGCACATCCTGTGACCCAAAAATGGAGAGAGGGGCCAATGAGAACCAAGAGAGGTGCGAGGAGGCAGCAGAGAAACAGGCTCTTGCCACTCCCCCTCCCCAGTAATCCCCCTCCCACGATTGTCTGGGGTCACTAGTTTGATGGGTGGGTGTGACTGGGAGTTTCCCAGGACTCTGTCAGGGTTCTCTCATACCTATCTCTAGGGTTAGGGTCTACCTGAGATCTCTGTTTTTCAGTTTGGAGTCTGTCTCTGAGATGGATCTCTGTGGGGTCTTTCAGTATTTGGGTTGGGGTCTTTCTCAGGACTGGGTTTCCTTTTTGTTTTTTGTTTGGGGGTTTGTATTTTTCTGGGTCTGAAGTCACTCTTTTCAAGGTCTTTCAAACTCTTTAAGAGTTTGGGGTCTCCTGAGTTTTCCATCTCTGGGCTGAGTCTCTCTCTCCCTTCCTTTCTCCCTCCATGAGCCTGGAATTTCTCTCGGGAGTTATTAGTCTCTGAGTTTGCAGTTTCTTGTCTCTGTGATATAAATCTGGGGTCTTTGAGCTCTCTCTGGGTCTGAGTTCTTTAAGACCTAATTCTGGGTCTGGGTTCTATCTGAATCTGGGGTCTCAGATCTTTTTCTTTGAGTCCTGGTCTCAGGTCTTGGTCCCTGAAATCACCATCTCAGAGTCTGGAGTCTGAGATTTCTGTGGCTATGGGAGAACCTTTTTGACATGGGACTATCAAGTTTTGATCTTTGATCTCTCTCTCTAGGGAGTCTGGGGGGTCTTTTTGAAAATCAGGGTTCTCTTTTCTTCTAGATTATGGGTCTGTGCCTCAGATTAACCCTCTCCCCTCTGCCAAGAGGGGCTGAAGTCTTACTAGATCCTACTCCTCTAAATGTGAGTTACCTTCCTCTGTGGGTCTGGGGTCTCTCAGACTCAGGGTTTGGGGTCTGCATCTTCAGAACAGCTCTCCCTCTCTGGAGTGACTTTCTAGTTAGGGGTCTCTCTCTGCAGGGTTCCCTGAGTAGGGGTGGGGGCTGCAGAGTTTCTCCCTCCTCCTCCTCCTGCTCTCTCCTCTCTCGCTCGCTCCCCCGCCCCCCTCTCTCTCTCCCTCTCGGCTGCCTGCC